CGAATAGAAGAGATAGGTGGTTTTGGTGGCCTGGCCAGAGTTGTCCCGTCTTTCGTAAGGTCGTGCTCGTAGACCTCCGTCACTGAACACGCCACTTATAATCCATGGGGAAGCTTTGGAAGTTGCGGAGCGTTTGACGTGTATTGGAAGTTGTATTAGTACTGATTGTAGTGTGACAGATGGAGTCAAATCGTGAACCTTCAAGGCCCGGGTAGCATTAGTTAATTTGAGACGTCAGAATATGGTAGCCCTGAATCTTACGGGACGTGCGTATAAGGCTACAGTGCGAGCTGTTGTATTGTATGGCAGTGGGACTTGGCCTGTTCGAGCAGGGGGAGCCAGCCGTTTGATACAAGTTTTTTTCAGAACCACAGATTGAGTGGGCTAGTGTTGGCAACGGGGAAAGTAGAAAGATAATTTTCGGTTGTGCAGCTGGTACTTTAATTGAAGTCCACCACCAAAAGCTTCGTTGGTTGGCACATGTTTTGCGCATGCGAACCATCGCTTTCTGAAGAGAGTGCTGCTTTCCATGCCCAACTCAGAGTGGCGAAAGCAGAGAGGTGGCGAATCCATGACCTGATGGGGGTTTGAAGGGGATTACGAAATGTTTTGCTGCTACGCATTCTACTGACCTTCCAGGATGGGGACTGCGTTTTCCTCACTGCGCTGCGAGGTATGGCTACCAACCGATATCATTGACGTTCTTGTTGTCAGATTGCCTGAATGAATTTCTTGGATTGTAGGCACCCCGGAATGATTGTAGTGAGCTAACACCAAGTCCCCTCCTCGTTCACCTTTATTCTTTTAATCACAATAAGGCTTTCAGATAAATCACTGTTGTACGGCAGCGAGGTAACGGTCTTAGATACCGATGTCATGCTCTCGCAACAACGCATACTTTCCGGGTGATCTGCACCCCACAAACTTGTGTCTCGGTGAACAATCTGACGGCTATGCTGCGTACGAAGTGAAGCTCTTCCATGGTCAACGTGGTAGCCTCCTGGCCCCGGTATCCAAGGTGCTCTCTGGAATCAAGTTTCGCGGTTTAGTCGGGTGTCTGCGGACACGGGGTTGCCAGAGGCAAAATTCTTTTTCTCCTTGGCCAAGGCTGAATGGACCGTTTGCTCACTTTGTGTCAGATATCAGCATCTTCTCGGCTTGTAACTGCCCAGATGGCTCGCACTTGGTTGGCTGCCCAGAAGTATACTGGCACTAAGAGCACAAATAAGCATCTCGCCACGAGGGCCACTTAGGAGAGCTCGCCGGCGACTGGTAATGTCAAGAAGCCCCGTCAGTACAGACCGGTACTGTCGACCTGTGTGGAATCCACCGTTATCAGGAGAACACTGAGCTCTTGATTCACAAGCTACCATTCCAGCACCCTGTCTATAGATCGCACAAGACTTCAAGGTGAACCCTCGTTTCCAGAGCTCCGCCGTCCAGTCTCTACAGTAAGCCAGTAAGATTTTCCTTGTTGGCCTCGTCGAGGACAGAAACTTTGCACGCAAGCGGTAATAATTTTCTGGAACTCCTGACGCGTTCTGAATGCGCCATTGACAACCGGTATTCGGCGCCAATACTGGGTCATGATTGTCTGTTGGGTCAAGGATTTCGACTAATGAGATCTCGGCTTGATGGACCGGCAAGCGCCCCGAATTTTTGACCAATCGTGCGTGGGATGGGCCTGTCGGCGGTAGCGGCACCTGTCTGCGTGCGGTAAAGCGGATCCGTGTGGGGTTCCGCCTAACGCTACCCACGCCAAATGCGTCGTAGCTTGGAAGGTCTGCGCTGGTTCTCTTGTCGCCTGCAGCAGTTGATCGTACCCGCGCATACCATAACATTTTGGTGACAGTTCTTTTCAGTCTACTCGTAATGGATCCCACGAAAGTAAAGGTGCTCCCCCAGGCAACCGCTTAAGCTGGCTAGCATTCCTACATGGATGAAGGTTCTAGCTACTAGTGCTACGTCTTATCCGACAAGTCAACAGGTTGACAGAATCGCGAACAGTATAGCAGAATTTAACTATGATCTGGAAGCTACTATAATGTTCCGCCTCTACGATGTCTTGTCAAGGAGAAACTACGAACAGCCTCTAACCGACTTGGTCTTCACGGTGGAGGACATTCGTCAACTCTTGGACAAGATCAACCCATTCTGCGCATTGGGACCCGACG